TTTCGGTCTCCCTCTGCAACAGAGCTTGATCAAGTGAAACAAGTCCAGCAGGGAGGCCATTGAGAAAGTTTGGGGCTGCTTGGAGCATGTCACCAGGAGAAGAGACTGAGGAACCTGCTCAGCCACGAGAAGAAACTGAGGGATCTGCTCAGCCACAAGAAGAAAGGCTAAGGGGGATCCAGTTGCTCTTGTCTATTGAGTAAATGGATACTATAGAGAAGATGGGACCAAACATTTCATAGAGATACACAATTAAAAGACAAGGGATGACAAACAAGTTGTAACAAGGGAATTTCTGATTAGACACAAATTTAAAAAAAAATTCCCAATGAGAGTGATCAGCACAGGGGCACTGAGAAGCTGTGGGATCTCCACCTTTGGAGATACTCAAAGCTTACCTGGACAAGACCCTGACAACCTGGTCTAGCTCTGAGGTGAGCCCTGTTCAGGGCAGAAGCTGGACTAGATCTCTCCAGAGGTCTGACTGAAACCTTTGTGTGACTCTTTAATCTTGCTAAATCTACTAAAATGCAGGAAAGAGTTGGAAATGAGGAGGAATCCTCAAATTGGCTTCTCAGAACCACCAGCTCTCTGCACATGTGAGAGCTTACACTTTGAAGGTAGACTGAGGCAGAGTAAAGCAAGAGGCATCCCATGTATTACCCACACATGACCTACACACTGGCAGCTTTTAGATCTCATGTTTGTCTTTAAGACACTGCAAAGCCAGTCCCTCCCTGGGCAGCAACCTGCCTGGCCACATGAAAATGTAGTGAGGGGCTGGTGCTCTGGTGCTGCACCTTGCCACTCTGGGTGTTGGTCCTCCCTAGGTGCTGCTCACAGGCTGTAGTGCAGCTATTCAAGGTGGCTGAAGGAGACCCTGCTCCCAGTTGTTCACCTTGCCTGTATCAGGGCCAGGAAAAGGGAAGGCATTTCTGCTCTACAGCTACCTCTATTTCTGGTCCAGCGTGACAAGATACAATGTAGGGAGAAAGTGGCTGCTGTAATTGGGGACTGGAAACACCATCTGTACCGTCAGCCCTGCTGTTGGGATAGTCACCTTTGGCAAAGGAACACCATGCAAACTTGGGGCAGCAGTCACCACATCCAAAATGTGGCTCTGTGATTCTGTTCCTTGGGGAGCAGACTTGATTAAAGTGATCCCTAACTCCACGAGCCTGCAGAGAGTGACAGGCATGGAAGCTGGGCATGGTCCCCAACACCTTTGCCTCCAAAGCCTGAAGGAGGATGTAACCCAACCACAGTCCCACCGGCTGGCGGTGTGTTCCTGTCCCTGGCAACTCCTGCCCCAGCTGAGGGAGAGGGACTCATTTACCACTCCTGTGCCATGGCAAGGTCTACAGGGCTTGTGTGGAGAGGATGAATCCTTCCCAAAGAAACGCCTTGTCTGGGGAGTATGGTGCCAGCACTGGCTGCTGAAAGGGGAGCTTTCTTTGGCAAGCTGGGGAGTGTTTGGAATGTGAATCCAGCAAGGTCTTTCCCTGTCCCAGGCCCTGGCACCACTGGCCTGCTTTTGCACCCCAAGGGTTTACCAAACCCCCCATGCCCACACCTGGCCAGGCACATGGAGTCCTGGCAAGCCCATGGGATAGTGACCCTAAAGGTCCTGGATCTCAGCCTTTCTTTGCCCTTTTCCCATGACATCTCTGACCTGAAGTTTGGCTGAGTTTATCCTGCCTCCTGATAATCCTGTTTGCTTTCATAATCCAGGTGTTCTCCATGCCAGACCTCCTCCAGTGTGTACACTTCTGGTGCTCTGGTCTCCTTGAACAGGGAGTCACAGGACCAGAAACCAGAGGGCCCTGAAGGCAGCAGACCTGCAGCCCCCACCACCAAGTGAGCTCTTTACAGGAGAGAGGGTAGGAACAAGCCTTACTGGGTTTATTTGCCTTCCAGTGGGCAGATTTTAAGAAAAAAAAAAAGCAGCACAAGGATCAAGAAACCTTCCTGCCTCCTCTACGCACTTGTTTCTTTAGGGTCTAGCTTGTCTGACCCCACCAGTTTAGGATTTTCTTGGGACATGTGTGTGTGTGACTGAGTGGCCAACTGGTTTGGTTTAAGATCAGTTTTAAAAGAAAGAGGAAACTGCTGCTTTCTCAAAAGCCTCTCCTGAGGTGTGAGAAACCTGCAGAGCGGCACCACCATTTGCCTGCTAGTGCCAAGTTCCACAGAAATTTGTATTTAATTTGGCATTTAAATCAGCCTTCACCCAAAGCTGCCTTAGTATTGCACAAGTGCAAAATACCTCTGGGCAGATTAGTGTTTGTGTCATTACAGAGGTTTAGAAAAACTACTCTAAAAGACACTGTAAATCCATTGAATGAGATTTTCCCTCTGCCAAGCAACATGCACAATAACAACCAAGTAATCAAGCAAAACACTGTGCCTGGAATAGATGGGATTGCATATGGTATCTCTCAGTCCCTCCTAGTTCTGCTGCCTCTGGGACCAAGGTGCGTTTGGGAGGCACTTTCTGGTCTGTGGCAGTCAATGAAGGAGTTGATAGGTGTCTGGGATGTGGAAAGCACACACGTTAAGAGCACCCTTTGCTCTTATTTCTTCTGCTATCCTGTCCTTTTGCTTCACCAGACGCCACTGAAGCAGGAGAGATAGCTCTGTTTTGACACATTTTTGGTTCCTCCTGAGACTCTAGCTACATTTAAGCCATCAATGGCATGACACCAGCTTGAAAACCTAATTTTTTGAAAGTCTGATGTTGTTTCAAGTACATCCCTCCTACTTTGGTCTGCAAGTCAACAACTTGCATCACATAACCCCTTCCCAATCTGCTCCCCAATGTTGCATTATTAACCTTGAGTTTTCTTTCCCATCCTCTGTGTTACATGTGTGGAACACTGTATAAGAGGAAGATGGGAGGGTAAACATTGTTTCCACCTCAGATTTACTAGAAAAAGGCAAGATGTCCTGTGACACTTTTCAAACCAGTGCCTAGGAAGGGTCTTTCTTATACCAAGGGATTCAGAAGACTCAAATGTCTCTGTGCTACCCTTCAGTGCTGGTAGGTAGAGTGGGGAAGGCCCAGCCTGGCATATTCTAGGTAGCACTGTGCCTGAGGAAGAGAGTTTGCTTGTCAGGATCATAGGGATGTGTGGCAGCATAGCATACCATGTAAAAACTCATGGGAAGAAGCCTCTAAAATGGACAATTACAGCCTCATTAAAAATATATATATTTTCATCATCATCATTTTGCTTTGATATTGTTTCTACTTTCAAATAAAAATATTGCATGTGTTCAGAACATCAGAAAGACATATTTTTATGAGCTGAATTAAAAACCTACAGGCTCCTTTCCTATTCTTGGTTATGCAAGTACCCAGCAAGACACAAGTGAATAAATACAGGCATACAGACACAGCAGACACAGACACACACAGTGATGAAAAGATCACATCCTTCCTCCTGCATTTAATGGCTGTGGCTTGGGTTTATATTTCTCCATTTCTTAATCACTTCTTACATTGAATCAACTTTCTTTATTCAAGAAAAGTAGCATGGAAAAGCTACTAACACCCTTCTGCACCTTCAAGCAGCTGATCTCTGGTCCACAGTGACAGCTCCATTTTGCCATTCCCCTCTCCAGCTGCAATCTCTCAGGTGTCCTACTCCAACCCATGAAGAGCTGTTCTGTCACCCCACCAGCCCTTAGAGGGATCCCTTTTCTGAGGACAAACACTAGTCTCTTGTAGTGAGGCTGTTTGGGTTTTTATTAATTAAATATTCCATGTACAAAGTGCTAAATAAATATATAGCTGTGTCAGACACCAATGTACCATACACACCCACTTGGAGAGCTCGATGTATTTATGTGTGAAATATCACAGAAAGCTATTTACCAAATGCAATGCAGGCTACAGAACGATTCAACTCTGCAAACTCATTGCTCATCGCCAGGGTGCAGTCCACGCAACACACACACATGCACACACATACCCACATGCTCACACTCGCTCACTTCTAGGAAGAACGGTGTCTGCCCTCCAAAACCTGGCTGGTAGGGAAATGTTTGTGTTAATGCCACAGACACACTTGGGAGGAGGTAGAGCTCCCAGGTGCGCAGGATTAAATCCCACTAGAGTATTGCAAGCAGCTGCACAGAAGAGGTTTTGTCTGCAGGGATCCGCAGCCTGGAGTGGCATGGGTGGGAAGGGAGGGTTTGTAGGGTTGGGCAGGCACCCTGTGGAGCTCAGCTGGGGCGTGTGGTCAGGGGTAAGAACTAGGAGGAGGGCTAATGCTGGAGCATAAATCAGAAACTGTGTCAGTGTAAATAGATGTAGATGTTTTTATGTCTTTAAATTTTCTTCCCCCTCTCCACCTTGGTCTCTAGGTGGTGAGGATGGCATTGGAAGCGAATATGAAGAAAAAAGGAATAGTCTCTCTCTCTCTTTCTGTCTCTTCTCCACTGATCTCTGGAGGAGGGCCAGGAAGGGCTGGGAATGGGTACAAAAGTAACAGTGGATAGACAAGGGTGTCCTCCATAGTACTGGAGATGTGTTCACAGGTGGGCAGGAGTGGGGATGTGTAGGGCTGATGCTCCTGCTCCTGCCTCTTCTCCCATCAGACGTGGGGTGCAGGCATCCCTGCGAGCTGATCAAAGCAAGTCCTGGCTGGGACAGAGCTGGTTGCAGACTTGGTTTATGATCTTCCTGCTGCTCTAGCCCTGCAGCCTTCCTGCTAAAAATAGGCCAGGATAGGCTCTTCCCAGAACGTTCCTCTGTCAGAAGAGATGAGCTCCATCCCACAGAGATACAGAATAAGCAGGTACAGGATGGCCCAAGCAGTGTCTTTAAGTTGTGTTGGAGGAATGAGAGGGGGCTACAAGGGTGCCTATGCAGGTGAAAAAGGACCCCTCTCCTCTTTTGCCAGTGTGGGTTGACTCTTGTCTCTTCTGTAGGATTGACTCACTTGTTACCACATGGCCCATACAGGCGCTTAGTCTCTTTGCTTGCTGCAGAGCTGCTACATGGGGCCTTTCCCACCAGTGTAGTCATGATATGGGCTTGTCCGGGCCTTGGGCCGAGGGATAGAGAAGTCATTCGGGGGTTCAATGGTCTGAAAAGGAAACACAAAAGTCTTCACCTTTCAAAATTGGAGAGAAATAATAGAAGGAAAAAAAATGTGATGCCAAATCCAAAAGTATTGAAAACCACAACCTTAGACTTTGCCTTGGGCCTCTCTTTCCTCCCCTTGTTCCTGAATGTGTCACAACTCCCTCCTCCCAGCTACAGGCACCTCCATGAACACGTGTCATGGTATCACCCAGCTCCATGTGAAGCACCTGTCTGCCTCCACAGAGGCTGCTCTAGGTCCACCTGTCTTTGCCCTTTCTCCTTCCCTACCCTTCAGTGCCTGAACAATAGCCTACATGTGGTGAAATGGGTGACAAGTGGCATGAACTTACCTTCATCTGAAAGTGAGAAGCGTATGGGGAGTAGTTGAGGTCTCCTGTGTCTCCTGAGTCACAAAACAAGATGGAGGGAAAGTTAGTGAGTTAGCGTTATATGGTGACTTGGAAATATCACATCAAGGGAGATTCAAAGGGCCTGTGGCTACATTAGTGACTGCTTTTGGACTGATCAAACTACGCAATATGCAGGCAGGAATGGGTTAAAATTCATAGGTGAGTGACTTATGAAAAATTTCCGTAGGAAAACAGGAATGAACGGTATTGTAAATAACAGGACATAGATGGCCTTGGAGTTTAGACACCTCCTGTTGCCACACCATCACTGTCATAATCACCAGCCAAATCCCTCCCACTTGCATGCACAAGACCCACTCTGCAGTATTCCTTGGGAGAGCACAGCCTTTCTTGGCTATTCTTTTACAAACCCAGAGGTCTGACTCCAGGACACAAATGTGTTCTCAGCAGCAGATCCACAGGGAGTACATTCATATCTCCTACCCACAGATTTGGGAAGCCTTAATTGATAAAATATTTTGCTTTGTTCAAGTAAGCATGAGACTCATACAGAAAACTAAGACCTCCTTGCCTCCTTTTTTGGATGATGTATTTATTTTTAAATGGATAATAGGGACCAGATCAGACCTGGAATAATGTCCAAGGAGAGGTCTGAAGAACTGCAGCATTGCAGAGAGACAAACAAAACTTCTGAATTTTCACATGGGCTTCCCAGACATAACAGAATCATAAGGAGTTTTGTCTCAGGTCTGACACACAGTAAGTGTCCTACTAAGTCACTCCTACAGATTTTGCATTAGTACTTACTCTTTTCCCCCTTGTCTGCAGATTTATTTTCACTTGCATCTCTGAAGTTTCATCAATCTGAAACTTTTTCCTACCTCTGAATTATCCATCATCTTCAAATATTTTCTTGTAGCCCTCCTACCCCTTTTAGTTCAGGAGTGATGCATGTGTGCTTAGGGTTTGGGGACAGGGGAGTCATTCACTTCACCATACCTTGCACAATTTCATCTTGAGTGTAGGCACGGTTGTCCACTCCAGTTGTCTGCTTTATGAACTTCGGTTGACAGAAGTCATTTTCTGGAGGGTAGTCCTCCAGCTTCAGAGGGGCAGTGAGAAAACAAATTTCAGGGATGATATACACTATTAGGAAGATCCATCCATTGGACACCAGAGCAATGGCCACAACAGGATCATCCCAGCTAGGGTGGTTTAAAACTGTGTTGCCTTTTGTGAGCATAGTTATCCACACTACCCAAATGACAATGGAGAACAGGACAGTGACAAAGATATGGGCCCCGTGCCTCTTCCAGCTTTTGTATGACCCACAGAATGTGAACATGGAAACCAAGAAGGTAAGAGCCATCAAGAAGAGAACGTAGATCAAAAGCATGACAAAGTCCTTGTTGGTCTCCTCCCGAGACATATTCAGAAATCTGTCTTTCTGGTTTACTAGCATGGTGACTAAGTACTCAATGTTGATCACAGCTTGGACCAGGGCAAAGGAAACAATGAGGAGCAGCAACACCAGCCAAGAGAAGGGCCTTCTTCCTCTCACTAGTTTGTTGAGGTTGCAGGCGTGGGTGAGGAGGCATGAGAAGCAGAGAGCAAAGAGGACTCCAAATAGGAAGAAGCGAGTGGGGCGAGTTCTGTCATTGAGTTTAATGATGAAGGCAAAAGTGAGACCAAAAATGCCGAGTGTGCCTAAAAGAAAGAAGAAATAGATGGAGATCATGTGCCGCTTGCTGTTGTCTTGGACTTTACAGATGAGAAAGAAGAGAGAGCAGATGAGGAAAATGGTAACGAGGACTCCAGCTGCAGCCAGTGACTCCAGAACAATCCCCCAGGCCTGCTGTACATCACAGAGCAGGTAATAGTCAGTGTCGATGGTGCCACAGCCTTCGGGAGGTGACATTGACATCCTCTCACGTTCTTGAACAACCTCCCAGCGAAATGTTTCCCCAGAGCTGTGGAAGAAGAAAAGACACAGGCTGCTGTATCAACCACCCAGGTGCTGCCAGCAGTGGGAAAGGAGAGGCAGGACAAACCTCCATCCCCACACCACCAGGCAAGGACTGTACAGTGCTAACTAAGGACGTGGGCCTGTGGCAGCAGAGCCATACCACTGTTCAGCATCTCTATCAAAGGCAAGCCAAGCCCCTTAGCAGAAGATAATTTACCTTAAGCGTCCTCTACCCCTTGTGTGGAGTTGTGCAATGTTGTAGGACTGTGGGAAGCAGGGAAAAGATGAGGCACTTTTGCAGGCATTAGCTTGGTGCCCTGCAGCACAGAGACTGAGCTGCCTTGTCACTTTCGTGATACAAGAGCAGCTGTTAGTCATAATACAGTTTATGCTCTTTTGACAAGTTAAGACAACATCAGTACCTTGTACCAGTGAGGTTCAGAGATGAGCAATGCAGAACAGGAAACGCATTACTCTGTTTCTTTTCCCTCTTTTACTTTCTCTGAAATGCTTTTGGCTTTGGTTTATGGGTATGAATGAAGGGGAACTTTAACTGCATTTTACCCTGCAGATAACTCGTTCACTGCACAAGAATTAACCACCAAGTTTCTGCTTGAGGAGTCCACGAGTCAAGGACAGACAAAGTCTCTAATGCACCCAGTGCATTCTTGCTGTCTTGTCATGAGTTGAGTGCTGTCTGAGTAAGTCTGGTTTAAGCCTGTCTCACCAGAGGATAAGAGAACTGTTTAGGTGAGCTCTGCCCACCACTGAGGGGAATTAAGTTGCCTCCTTCTTTGCGAGCCTAAAGCATGTGCAGAAATCACTACAAGAGGACATCGGGCACTTCGTGGCTCATTATGCAAGCACTGAGTTTAGATCCAAGGGCCAGGTACTGCTTTCTAGGTACCAAATTGCTCCATTAGGCTCAGGTTTCTAAAACCTATCAAAACAGGAATTTAGATACAATATTGGCATGAAACATAGGGGAATTTGGCCTTAATGGTGACCTACACTGGAGAACCAAGGGCTTTCTTTTCTGATATATAAAGAAAAAAGTTAACCTTGCAAAATCTAGTCTTTAGTGCTCGCCATGCCTTTTGTCTTCTTTGGTTTTTTTTTGTTTTGTTGTTGTTTTTTGTTTTGTTGTTTTTGGGGTTTTTTTCCCCCTCCAGAAGAACATACTGCAGTTATGAGGCTGGTTCTAAAACCCTTACAACAGATTTTAGGGAGTATAGGCTGAGTCTTCAATAAATGGCACTTGATCTAATCAGGGGATGAATGAAATGGGAAAATACCACTGACTCAATCTCAGCCTCACATACACCTCAATGTGACCTGCTTTTTCCAGCTTTTAAGATCACTGTGTAAAAGGAGATGTGCAGCTCTTCAAAAAACTGGCTACAATAAAATGCAAATTATTCAAATACACAGGAACTCTGGACTCCCATGGAGAGAATGGAATTAGTGAATAACACATGTGGGAGTTTTCACAAATAATTGATTGCAAAATTTTGGGATTTATGATTTTTTGCACAAATAGCTGAGAGTTACTTGGACATTTGTGAGTAATAAATAATGAACATTTCTGAAAATCTAGAGAGCAAATACTACAATTTTTATCCACAGGCATTTACTGTTGATCAGATTAGCTTATCTATTCACAGCTCTGGCAGATACAGACCAGTGTCCACTGTCAGAGCAGGTGAAGAGCCCAGAGAGCCAGCGTGACACCCCAGGGCAGCACAGAGCACATCTATAGCTTTGGGTCCTGACTGGTGCTTACTGTCAGTGGTACTTGCCACAGGCAGCTGTCACAGCCCTTGGAACAAATTGGATGGAAAGAACCTCGCTGCCTTGGAGAACTGGACCACTTGCACCAATTTTTACTCCCTATTATTTTTTTCCAGGGTCCTAGGAGGCATGAAGAATCTCTGCCCTGTCTCCTGGGTGAGTGTTGGACCCCCAGAAGCTGGGGCTACTCACCCAGCACCTACAGAAGTGCCTGGGATTTCCAAGGGGCTCTGCAGTCTGCACAAGGAAGCCCCTGTTGTGGTAACTTCACAGTTCCCCCCGAATCATGGTTCTCACTTTAGTGCTGAGTCCTTTCCCTCCAGCCCAAGCCTCCTCTCTCATTGATACTTGTGCATAAAATACACCCATCTAGTCACAAATTTCAAGTAATTTCCCAGGAAAGTCTGACATAACTCCCCCAGCTCCAGCTGGCAATTCCACATTAGAGTCAAGGGTGAGAGGCATTCTCTCTTTGCTGTGGCACTCCATGCCCCTGCTCTCCTACCCCCCAGACCCAGGGTCCTGCATGCTATCCCACCCCAGTCACAGAAAGCACATCCACCCTGGATCCTGTAGGACCCTGGCTTGAATTACCTTTCTGGGTCCTGCCAAGAGAAGGCAACAGGAAGGCTCCGGCTGGAAGAGACGAGTTCCCAGTGCACCAGTGACACAGTCACCTCTGCTTCTGTAACCCTGGCTCAGCAGAGCCTCTGCTTTTGGCCTCCGTGGGAGCTTTAACAGCTGGAGGGCCGAGGAGGTGTGGCTGAGCACGCCTATTCCAGTTCCACCACCTCTCCTCTGCGACAGGACACGGCTACAAAAATACAGTCCCTATGCCAGGACATGAAGTAAGGCCTCCTGATGTCAGCTGGGGCACTCACCCCTGCCTTGGGGTGGAGATGGAGCCGCTGCTTGTCCCAGGGGAAAGGGACTGAATTGCTGCTCAGTGGAGCGCCTGATAAGGTGTTCCCCTGTCTGACTCCTGGCACCTGTGGGTGGGGACCGTGGCTATGAATAGCAGTGGGTCCCCTCCCGGCTCCAAGCCTTTTGTCTCTTTGCATGCTTTCTTGCCAGATAACTGCTTGCAAAGTGGGAGATGAGGAGGTTATGGAATGCAAAAGAGCCCAAGAGACCTGGAGGGAAACCAGAGACACTGGAACAGATTGCCCAGGGAAGCTGTGGATGCCCCCTCCCTGGAAGTGTTCAAGGCCAGGTTGGACAGGGGTTTGAGCAACCTGGTCTGGTGGGAGGTGTCCCTGCCCATGGCAGAGGGGTTGGTCTAGATGATCTTTAAGGTCTCTTACAACTCAGACCATTCTATAATTCTATGAAAGTAGCTGCAAGTTGGGCTCCAGAGACAGTTTTCTTGGGGCTCTCACTGGGTGCTCATCTGTCTGTGGGGACAGGTCTGCTCCACTCATTGCTTTCACCCATGGCAGTGAGAGCCACTGGCTGCTTTCCTGAAAAGGGCAGTTTGCCTTTCCTGGTGTCTCACTCAGCCCAGCCCTGCTCTCCAAAGGCACAGTTCTGTCTGCTCGTGGATGCTGAGTCACTTTGTCCAAATTGCTGGCCCAAATGATTAATGAATGAAGGCAATGACAAATTCCCCCTTGTTCTACATTGCGCCTCTGGCTTGACACACCTATCAGCGCAATCCCATCCAAAGCCATGGGTATCTCCTACGTGTTCATGACTTCATTTATTAGTTTAAATATTACTTACTGGGAGTATTTTATTATTCTGATTAAGAATTGACAGAGCCTATCCACACCAAGCACTCGGTCCCTACACACAGCTGCTATACCTAGAAATCTCTTCCACGCTGTGGAGGTTGTACTCCTTCCCAAAACTGAGGGAGCAGCTGTACATGCCTGTGCTGAGGTCTGACTGCTCACAGTTGTCTCACCTGCATGTTAATTTTGTTTATTTGTTTGTCTTAGGGTGCCTAGCTTTCTTCACAGTCACATGTGGAGACTGCCATAAAACACATATGAGAGAGTCCTCTCTTGCACAGCCCCTAGAAGAACACAAGGGTCTGCAGGGATGAGTGACTCCTTGAGCGAAAGGCAACTCTTCATGCAGACACTGTGGGGTGGGCCACGCTGAGCTCTAGGACAGTGCCTCATGCCCTTCCAACTTTCATTTCAGTGTAAAATCCTGAAGATTCTTAGGAAAGGACATTCAAGTTTTCTTTACATGATATTAATCTTAACTTTAAAGAAAGTCCCAGGTTTAGTGAGCCAGCCAAGAAGGAGGCAGTTGTGAAAAATTAGAAGAGGAAAAAAGGAATGATGAAGAGTTTGGCACCAGCTTAGCAGGACCCAACCTGTCTAGGAAGACAACCCAAGAAGCTTTCAAAGGTCACCAGTCACCACCAGCCTATTTGCATCTTGTCAGAGCAAGACTTATGGAATACCAGGTACTTCCCTACATTTACATAGACACACAAAAACCCATGGAAGGCAGCACGTCAAATTATATTAAGGGGAAAAAAGAAGAAAATATAAGAAGAGTAACACTGACATTTTCCAGAACGCTTGAGAAATCCTTGAGAGTCAGTCATCAAACACACCCAGTACTTTCAAAAGGCTAATAAATGGAGGTACATTTAAAAAAAACAAAACACTACCCCAAAACAAAAACAAACAAACAAAACTCTCCCTCAAAACATCCCAAATGACCTAGGAGCCCAAGTGCTGCTGACTCATGGTAGGCAGCCTGAGAAATGGTGTGCCTACGGCCCTCATGCTGTGCTAAGGAGGGTGGAGAAGCATTGCTGGTCTACATGGGTGAGTACAAATGGAACAACATTCACACCAGAAAGGTGAGATGCTTGCCACCTCACTTTAGGGATGGGATGTAACTTGCAGTTAGAGTCACCTAAATTTAGATGTCTGATGGTTAAATGTGAGCTAAACGTGAGCTGGGTGTCTCAGCTCCCAAACAGCCAAAAGATCAGGACTGGCCCAGTTGACTGGATGCAGGTGCCTATTTCTGTGTACACTGAAATGCTCCCAGGTGTGGTTAGCTGGATTGCCTGAGGCCTCACCTCAGTAGCTTGCACATCAGCTTATAGTGTCATTTGAGATGCCACAGGGTATTCTGCTTGGCTTCCAGGGACCACTCTAGGAGAAAGCAGGTTAACCGTATCTCCTGTTTCAGATATG